GTATTATCCAAGATGAGTCAATAACTGTATAGTTGGATTTCAAAATAGTTATTCGAAAATTGTATTGGCTATTCTGTTCTCATTAGTTTTTTGTTTACTTTTTTGCAGTAAAAAAATATTGTATGACTTATTGTTTTATTTCTTTTGAAGTCATTTGATCCTAGTCACCATTTACTTAATTATTATTATTAATATTTGGTATAATAATAACTATAAGATTTTCTTATCTTACCAACATAATCTATCCTTTGTGTGTCACAAAAAAGATTCCACTGTAAATGTTCCCAAGTTCAGGAATAAATACTTGTTTTGTTATTTTGTGTAGTAAGTGTTTGAAGCATTAAACTTTATTTGAATTAAGTACATTTATCTGTTATTGATTTGATGTACTTAATTATTATTAAATTATATATGCATTTGGTTTTAAATTGAGGTACCAGTATTGTAATGAAATTAAATGTATTTCTTTTCTCATAAATCTGATGGTATTTTCTTTTTTTCTTTTATGCCTGCATGTTATGCAGAGACCATGTCTGCCTGCCCATCTATTTGTTTACTTTTTCTTTTCTGTATGATAAATTATATTCTATCACCAGATCAAACAGGTAAGTTCTTCTTGATGAAAGAAAGAAACCTACATACAAGTGTTGTGGTCAAATGTCAAGGTCACAGTGACTGACAAAAAAAAAAAAGTTTTCACAGTCACATTTGTTCTACATCATCGACCGGGACCAGGTTTGTTCATGGCTTGCACTTGGACTAAGGAAAAAGTTTAATAATTTTGGAGTAAAAACATGAACAGTTTTGGTCACCAAGTTGAGGGAAAAAAAATCTTTCTGTAAGAAATTTCAATTCACATCCCTTTGCTTTCACCAATGTTTGTGGGTGTCTTACATATGGGATAAGAAGCCTGTTAATTTTGGGTTAATAAGGTCAAGATCACTGACTGAAATAAGAATAATGTATTTGTTTTTTTTGCATAATGACTTTAGTTTCAGATGTCAGGTCTTTGGATAGCTTACACTTAAGGAATGAAAAAGACCTGTTGGTTTAGAAGTCAAAAGAGCAAATATCTAAGACATTGTGGCTCAAAAAAAAGTTGGTTTTGCACAGTAATATTTGTTTTCAAGTCAGCTAATGACTAAATGGGTGACTTTCATTTAGAGTAATAAAAAGCCTATGTGGTCTAGAGGTCAGGGTGAGTCTGATAAGGAAATAATGGTTTCTATACAGGAAGTTGAATTTAAGACTGTGTACCTTAACAAAAGGTTTAGGTCACTGAGACTTAATAGTCAATAATTTCCAGTGTCATCCATGTGCTGTTAAACCTACATAGATGAATATTAAACACAGGGTAGATGTATAATGTGCTGTTCACAGTACTCTTTATTTTGTTTACAGTATGGTTGTATTATTACAAGTGTCCACAATTTAATTTCATATACAGGCAGTACTAATTAAATTAAAACTTAAAATACTTTACATTTCATTCTTGGCCCTAACTTGCAGCTTGTTAGCTTAAATATTTAGCTTGGAGCACTGGATTTAGAATTCTACCAAGGTATTATGATAGGGTAAATAAACTTGCTATTGGTTAGAAACAAACTTTGTAAATTATATTTCAAGCTGAGATGATTCTAACAATAAAAGGTAAACTCCTGAACTTTTTAAATTCCTCTGTCCACTCAGACTTTGTAATTGGAAAGAATAATAGTGAATAGTGGATGCAGTGTTAAGCCTACCTTTTTTGTGGAGGTCTAATGTTAATGATGAGATATGGAGTATAAAACAAACTCTTACATAATTAAAAAAAGGTCTGCACACACACACACACACACACACACACACACACACACACACACACACACAGACACATGCTGTACAACATGCAAGATACCTGCTGCTGCACTGGCAAATTAGCTGCAATTAAAATAATGCAGTCTAAATAGAAATGAATTTTATGATATAAATTTGGTTGATTCATATTTGGATGATGTTTAACAGCAGCTGGACTAAGCATCTAATAAGCACATGATGTAGACATTAAAATAATTAGAGTAAACAAAATATATGAAAATTATTACTATTATTATTATTATATCACCTGACCATAAGGACAGTTGAGCTTCTGATATTGCCCATCATGATAATCTTGGATGTAGCCAGTAGTGAACAAGATCCATGCATATTAATGATGTGACCTTATATCTTATTGGCTGAGCTTGTTACCACTTATTTCTGATCCAAGTTTTACCAGACTTGGAATTATATGCTTATATCATCAAGATCTGGGACAAATTTGTTTACAAGAAAGATTCATACATTTTACTGAGGTGATTTTGCATCTGTCTATTTAGATTCCTACACAATTTTTTTAGTTTGTGTAGCTTTTTCCGCTAACACAGGAACAATAGCTTTAGTGGTTTCAATGATGAGTTTAAATAATTGTTCTGCGGATTCTGTAAACTTTTCTTATGTCTGCTGACGCTGCTGTAATTGTTGTTTGACAGAATCATGGACAGGTAGATATATTTTAATTGCTTCTAGTCACTCTCAAGCTAATCTTGCTGAATGAGATTCACTGATCATTATTGATATAACACAATGGTTCAATTACAGCAGCAGGGAGGGCGTGACTAACAAAAGTAACCAACATGTAAATGAAACCACATAGCGATAAAATACAAAAATCATCATTGGTAACCAACCCACATGACAAAGTTAAGATGCTGGTTTAATGTTGTTGATGTTCAGATTTCACTGTTGTACAAGGCTTAGGTTTCATAAATAAGGTCTCAGGCAAATGGTCTATTCACCCTCCCTGCTGCTCAAACACATATACTACAAGTATGAAAAGAAGGGGTAGGAATATAATAATTTTTATACATGTACAAAATGGGTTTATATAAACATTACATATTTTTTAACTTGAAAATAAGGCTTATTTAAAACTCTTAAAACATACTGAGAAATGGAGCACATGAACAAGATAATGCAGCTGTATATATATATATATATATATATATATATATATATATATATATATATATATATATATATATATATATATATATATATATATATAATTTCTTGCTTTGATCCCAGTTCTTCCTGTTTAGCTTCCACTTCTCCCTGTTCTGATCAAAAGAAGTGACCCCTGCAAAAGGTTTCAGAACTTTGTATCCATCTACCAGAGTCATAATTGATTGTACAGAGATAAAAAGAAGAACAACCTTTGTCCCTTGTACTTAACTCTCAGTCATTTTCTAATTACAAAAATACCAACACATTTAAATGGCTTTTGGGTATTGCACCTCCTGGAATAATAACTATCATATCTTCACTTTATACTGGTTGCATGTCTGATTTGGAAATTGTCAAATTATTTGGTTTACTTGATCTTCTAGAGCCAGGGCAGACAAAGGTTTCACTCTTCGTAAAAATTTGACTGAAAAGGGTATTACACTGAAAATACCTGATATTTTAAGCAGTAAAAGGCAGTTCAATATTGGTGAAATTAAAAAAAACGGAGCAAATTGCGAAACTTAGGATTCACATTGAACGTATGAACAGACACATAAAAGAAAATCATTTATTTGAATCTCCTATTCCCCTTTAACTGGTTCAATAAATCAAATTTGGTCTGTTGCATGTTTGCTTATAAATGTTAGAGATCCCATTGGGCAATCATGGTCAAATGTATCTTCAAGAATCTTGTTACAGACAGTTATTGAAATAAACGTCATCTACTTTGTCTTTAACTCGGCTGCCAGACATCATGGTTGAAATATTTGGTTTCTAAATGCTAATCATTTTGACACCAGATCAAAAGATCACACCACTGTAATCCGGTAACTGCATGCTGTGTCAAAATTTGGTAATAGCACTTGTGATTTTTCTTCAGTTTCAGAACTTTATTTTGTTCTTTAGCTAGATATTTAACCTCTATGACACTTCCTACTTGAGGATACTTAATTTCTAATAAACCAAATGGTGGGTATTTTGGGGATTGTGTACTTTTCTGTCTAGACTTGCAGCAAACCAAGGGGACACCAGAAATTTACAATCAATCTGCAAGGATAATGGTTAATTTGGTTTTCCTTGGGTATTACATAGGCCTTTGCTGCTTCAGGTTCTGTTGAGCCAATGTGGCTGAAGGTAATTGCAATGCAAGTAAGATTAATATGGAACTGTTAGCATTTGTAAGATGGACATATTGTATTCCCAGTCCTCATTATCCTCACAAATAGGGTTGTAGAGTGTAGATTTCATCTCGTGCGGTGACATATCACTGCTGACCAAATCCTCTAATTTTAATATTTTGCATTGCTTTACCTTGAAGTTTTTCTCCTCTTGGAGCATGCTAGGTTTAAGGCTTGGATGTTTTTTCTATATCTTTTGGAAATGCCCCTTGTCCCAGCATTTTGTATTTAGCAAGCTGATAAGAGTAGACCGACAATATGTCCACATGATCCTGCTAGTCCTATTGGGCAAGTGCAGAATGCAAATGTTGATGTAGCCTTTAATATTTCTTTAAATGTGACCTGCAATGATTAAAATGAAATTTTATGAAATGTCCAATTTTAGGTTTATTCTTCTGTTAAATATAAGCTTGTAAATTGTATGCTTCACACAACATGCATAATCTGACAGCCTTCATGCTTAAAAATTAAATTAATTTGATGTTTCATTTTTTTCCTCTGAGATATAACTCCTGCCCGTCAACTCTGATCTGTTATCAACAGGTCTTACTGAAATAATAATAATGTGATTATGAATTTTAACGTTTTAAAAAAATTTTCAGTCATATCGCTATGATGTCTGCAGTGTGGCAGTTTATAGTGATGTCTAGCACTGGGGCATCATGCCGCAGACATATAACATGATGTCCCACCCAGTCACATTATCCTGACACCAGGTTGACCAGTCCTAACATTAACCTCTTAATGCTGAGCGTCAAGCAAGGCAGCTGTTAGTACCATTTTTTAAGATTTTGTTATAACTTTATTGGTGATCGAACCCACGACCTCCTGCATCTGAGGCAGATGCTCAAACAACTAGGCCAGCAAAGCGATAATAATCATAATAATAATAATAATAATAATAATAATAATAATAATAATAATAGCTACTCTACACTAATTTTGCCTATAACTCTTTGATTTGAACTATTTTACAATTTATTATGGTAAATTGGGTATAGCAAAACTGAAAACAGTTCTACAGGTTGAAGTCATCAATGCCATATATATTCTAGCCTTGATTTTGCTTGGAGATCAGAAACTTGTCAAGTTACTTGGATCATATTAAACTGGTAATTATCTTTGAGGAATATGATACCCTAGGGAGATATATAATTTTGTACAGATTGGTCAGGTTATACAATGATGTAGGAAATCTCTCATCACATCACATTTTGTTTAGGGGAGTTCTAATAGCTGTAATGAGTGTAAAGCAAATGTGTCATTGAAACAATTATTTCCAGCTGAGTGTGGATGATAAGGAAAACAACACTTACCTCTTAGATCTTGAATATACCCTAAACTAAAATGTCTGAATCTCTTGTTCATGGATTTTTCCCCTAATGACTTATTTAACTTGACATAAGTTTCAACAAATGAACAGGTAAGTGCCAGAACTAAATCAAAATCCTTGTCACTGTAGGAAGTAGCCATTTTATCACTATAGACGCTGTAGCAGATAGGCAGCTGTGCTAAGTTTAAGCACCTAGATGTAACAGCCTATAAAGTAACAAAGTTTAGTGTCAGGATTCATACTATAACCATCACTGAAAACTGTCAGTATTATATATATTTCAAGGTACAGTGAGTTGTGCTTATTTTTGTGTTGAGTTCAGGTTCTATTCAAAGTCATTTTCTCAAATTCTATTGTCACTGAGTCACAGAAGTTATTTAGTTGTGTCATGTGCAGTAATCAACCTTTAAGTGAAAATTAGTTCACTATGACCTTTATTTTAGTCAAGAGATGTTTTGTTAACCACTGTTTAGCTCATTTTCTGAGGTGTCAGACAACTAGGTATGGAATTTTGTAATGAGGACTACTAGAGCTATTAATAAAAAAAATGTCACTGACTTGTATTTTATGGTTCAGTGATTTGTGCTTAGACTTTGTATTTCGGTCATATATTCAAATAGTATTGCTTGTAAAGTCATATAGTCAGATAGTATGATTTGGTAATGTATGGTACACAGATAATAACAAACTTGTGAGTAAAAATTACTTTGCACACACATTCGTGGTTAATCCTTACTTCCTATTATATATTGTCAAATTTTAGAAAGATTTATTTTTTGCACAACAAAATATTACAATGTACACCAGATACAAACATGTCTGCACTTTCACAATCATGTGCATGACAGCTTCAGTTCCAGAAACTGATCTGGTCTTTCATGCTTGAAAAAGTTAGAACTACAATCAACTACAACCTTGCTTACATAGATTATTACTGAATCCAGGACATGGAGGTGCAAAGCGCAAATAAGGATTAAGAAGAACTTATTTAAATAAGTTTAATACAAAATATATAAGATGTATTTTCATTCTTAATAGTGTGTAATGTGTAACTTGTGTAGTTATCAAATGGACAGCTCCTGAAATTTGTATCCTCCTTTTCTTTTTTCTATATATATGGGTATTTATTTACCTTTAAACAAAGAAATATATATGAATAATATACTAGTTAAACTTTTAGAACCACCTGGTGCGTATAGAAGAGTAAAAGAATTAATATATAGATATAGAAATAACATTATTTATGCAATAAAAATAATGATATTTATAACATTCTAAATGAACCAATCACTCAAGAGAAACAGGAAATAGAGATTAAAAATCTGGGATTAAACTGGGAAATAATATGGAAGAAATGGGCAGGCATAAAGTTGCCTGCCATACAAAGTAGGTTATATGTTTATCTCCATGATAAATGGCTTACAGGTGAAACAGCTTTTAACATTTATTTAATTGTAAAATTACAAAAATGTAGACTTTGTGAAAAATGCATAGATTCAAAAAAAACACTTTAATATTAGAATGCCCTAAAAATGAATTAGAAAGATCAAGTATTAAAACTCAAATTCATACAAAATATGGGAGTAATGAACCTTCACAACTTTTATATATGAATGGTAAAATGGATAGCAAAATATATAATGAATTAATAGGTTTTATTAACAAAATTACGAAAACACTATGAGAATAGAAATAGATATTTTATCAAATTTACAGAAAAGAAGAATTTCATTATACTATACGTTAATAGATACACTGTGCCTGTGGGATCTTTCTAATAATTTATAGACCACAACTACATATAAAAACAATTAGAATACACAAAGGGGAGAACAAGGTGCGGATCCAAAGCTATGTGACTCACGTGGGGTAGTACGGGCCGTACCAGTTTTCTCCACCTCAAAGTAGCACTAAACATTCACATTGTCTTTAATAAAACATGCGATCTATTCTACTATCTAACTCTCTTTAGCAGCAGGCAGGGTGAACGCTACAAAAGTTTGCTTGAGTCATAACAAAAAATAAAGGTTCCTGCAGAGGCAGAAAAAAAAATATGTCAACAACGCTAAACTAAAGTCTCTCAACTTTTCTAGTTCCATACGCCTGACAAATTCATGAGGTTAACTCATTTTGTTCTATTATTGTTGATGTATTTTTTATGATTTTGTCAGGTGATTTTGTTTACTCGTAAAGCGACCCAATTGTTGTTCTTCACCCTGCCTGCTGCTATTGATAGTCAAGGGGAGTTTAACCAAAGATTTTATCTAGACCAATCTACGAGCGTATGTATAAATTAATATATAGAGTTTAGTTTCTCAAATCAATTATATTTCCATCCTGATTTGTGAGTTTGAAATTCATTTTCGAAAATAAATGAATTATGTATACGCAGGTAGACTTGATTTATTGGCTCAGATACAATAAGCCACCCTGGACATGCTTGAATACTGGATGAATAAAATATGCATCCCTGCTGAGCCTGATTAGACTTAGAAAGGTCAATGTGATAGCTACTGTCAATTACATCGCATACTAGATTTAGTGCGATGGTGGATGTTATATTAACAATATTAGGTGAAATATGACGTCCTGTTCCATATGGGTCATTATTATATTTGAGAACAGTTGGAAATGGGATTAATTTTTTCCATGAATCACATATTCTTTTAAAGTGTTCATCAATAAGATTACTAACTGATTTCTTTAACTCAGACGAGTCAAATCCGGGAATGATAAATGTTGGTAATTGTTCTTGTGTAATTCCAAAATATTTTAGAAAAACTGTTGTGAAAAAGCGACTGGCTGGAACAGGTTGAGTTGAATCATCTTCATTAATTATTCTGTTTTCAATAGTTGTATTTCGAATTGATGGTGGTAGTACTAATCTTTTCTCTTTGTTAACAAAAACATTCATGAACTCTAGGTCTGAAGCAACTTGATTCAAATGTATTGATTCAATTATCTGATTTTTTAAATCATCATTGTAAGAAACATTAATACTTAAAAGTAAATTTTGTAGATTTTTAAATACACCTTCATGTTCAGATTTGATCGTATTAGCATAAAAATTTATTAGATCAATATCTAGTGGTTCTATTCTTGCATCTTTATTCTTGCCATCAATATATTTTATAAAATAGTTAGGTATTCGATCTATATAATGCACATCTCTATCAGTACCAGAATACAATTTCCATGGATAAGCTTCTACTTTTTGATATTCTGGAAGTTGTATAAATTTTTTAACATCTGTGACGAAGTCGGATCTCTGTGGTTCTGGTCGACCTTGATAAACCGGTGCGACTTCAGGCCATCCTAACACTGATCTAATCGAACTTTGATAAATATCCACAGCATAATCAGGAGAATGTATTTCAATCACCGACGATAATGTTGGTTCGTATACAGTAATTGCTATCTTTGACTCTTTTCCGGTTATAGACTTAATTCTGCGCTGGAATTCCTCATTGATTTGCTCTATTTGATAACTGCCAGTTGGTATACTAACTACTTGCCAATCGGGAGTTCCATCAGATTTATTCTTATTTGCGAATACTATTGAATTATTTGCCTGTAGTCCACCAAATGGTTTTGATCTAATATTAGGCTAGCTATAATAAACACGTAATTGAACTAATGCTATCTCTTTTACTAGAATTGTAGTTGGAATTGGAAAGTTAACGCTAAATTCAGAATTGGTCAAACTTATTAATATCATAGTAGTTTTTTATGGCGTCGTATTAGTGACGATCTGTTGCAATAGTTCTCTTGAATCAGACATTATTGTTATATTTATTATTTAATTCTCCATCCTTTCGTTATTGTCACTAGATGATGTTTTTTCCATCACGAATGCTTCATCGTAGGTTTTCATTATCATAACGATAATATCATATTTTACCATCACTGTGGTATAAGGAAAGATGTGAGCATAATTTAGTATAGGCGGCTGTTGCTGTGTGTAATTTCATTATGAACTCGCGTAATTTATCGTTCGTGCATGTAGATATTTTAGCGATAATACTGAGAAAACCTGCACATGTCGTAGAAACGACAATTGTTAAAACTGCAGGAGCCATCACTGTTAATGTTGATAATAATAATCCGGTTTCAGCAACAACAGCAGAAACCGAGTAAACTACTACATCGATAACAACCATGCGTCTGCGATATTTTTTTACTTTCAACGTGTATTCGTCGATGATATTTTTTAGTTCAGTCTGACACTTACACGCCTGATTATATATGTGACGTTGAACGTCAATGAGTGACTCTGTCATCGTATTCATTATACCTAATGACGTTGTTATTTAATTAATTAAAATGGAAGCTTTAGCTACAAATTCCAGACACCACCAGTAATTAGCGGAGGACAAACTTCTATCCGATGATTCCAACGTGAACGTTTCTTCAGAATCTTTATCCAACATTACAGATACGGTTCTAGATAATTTATTAGCAAATGGAGATGTGGTAAGTATGTTAAATTATGCAACGCTAAACACAGACAATCTAATATACCAGCGACCTCCGCGGT